TCTTCTAGCTCTGTTTCAGCTCTTCTTTCCAGCCCTCTTCTCCAAAGCATTGGCCTCCCACTCCTACCTTTTCGCAGTAGCAGGGCGCTGGTCTCGGGTGAGCAATTCCCCTCGCTGACGAGGTACTCGTGGAACTCCTTGAAGCCAATGGACTGGAAGATGCCGTGCTGGTAATCCTGGCTAGAGAACGAGGCCACAGACAGAGGTCAGGGCAGGCAGCGCCAGTCACATGCAGGAAACCAGCCCAGTGCTTTCAGCTGGCCCATATCAGCTTTGCTGTGTGCTCAGACAGCACCAAGTCGTTTTTGCTGAGGGAAAACGTCACCACTCGGCAGGTGACGGGGCCACGCGCGTACGGAAACGCTCTGGGAACAACAGCACTGAGAGAGACCAGGAGCAGAGCCAGAAACAAACATCTCCCCCTCCGTGCCGGGACCTCGCTGAGGTCTGGGCAAGGTTATGTCATTGCTGAAGCCCCGCAGGGAGAGTCATAGAATCACAGAATCATAGAATGCTTAAGGTTGGAAGGGACCTGTAGAGATCATCTAGTCCAACCCCTGCACACGCAGGGTCACCTAGAGCACGTGGCACAGGGCTGCGTCCAAGCGGGTTTGAAGATCTCCAGAAAAGGAGACTCCACAACCTCTCTGGGCAGCCTGTTCCAGTGCTCTGACACCCTCACTCGCTTCAACTTTGTGCTTTGTGAGTCGCTCCAAGCTCTGTGTGTCTGTCAGCCGGGGCCAGGCGCAGGCCTGGCTTCTCACGCACCGGTTCTCGGCCACCTTCTCCCGGTTGTAGCGCCGGTGGAAGTCGCGCAGCTCCTCCAGCAGCCCTGCGGCCAGCATGTCATCCACCCGCTTCTCCAGCCGCTCATCCAGAGCTAGGAGAGGGGCAGGACACGCTGAGCATCTCAGAGCAATGCCCTTGGGACGCCCGGAGCGGGACGCGGTGCCAGGATGTGGGTCTGCACTCCTGGCCCCCGGTCCACCTGGGGCCCTCTCACCTGCCTGGTCCGCGTGAAGCCACAGGATGCAGGAATGTGGGTATTTCAAGGGTCCCCCCAAGGGCCCCCCACCTTCCTCCTGCTGCTGCTGCTGCAAGATTTCACTGTGGGGGATCCCCGTCTCTTCAAACACTTGGAGGCTCCTGGAAGCAGAGGCAGACAGAGCTCAGGGGCTGGCTGAGGATGAGCTTTGCCATCTCCCCGGCAGCCCTGGGGGCTCCGGCAAAGGGAACCGCAGACGTTCCCTGCGATCCAACCCTCTCCCGTGAGGGCAGGGCAGGTTTCTGCCCCTTCCCGTGCCCGGCACCCCGAGTGCACCCGGGTCCTGGGGACGACGGAGCCCCGAGCGCAGCCACCCACTGGTGCCTGGCACGGGGACAAGCCCTGTGGGGGCTCCAGCCCTTCGGAGCCGGGCAGGGCTGCGGGGAAGGGGCCCGTTCAGCCGAGCCCAGCCCGAAAGGAGGTGGAGGAAGCGGTGCCCGGGCCCAGCCCTCCGTCCCCCCGCACCGTGCGAATGCGGTGGGCGGCGTTGGGCTCCCCCCGGGCCAGGGCTCGGCCGGGCCGGGCCCGCCAGGCCCACAAGCCTGGTCTTGCCGCGCTGC